TGGAGAATAAGGAAGAGGATAGAAGAGGAGATGGAGATGGGGAAGGGGATGGAGGACAAGGTGGATGTGGGGAAGGGCTGTTTTTGCAAATGGCTGATGATCTGAGCCACCAACTATCAACATCCCAGTCTCTCACACTCCCCCCCTGTCCACAGGCTTCGACCTGGGCTGTCTCCAGCTCTCCAACGAGAAGGTGGGCGACGTGGTGCTGCCGCGGTGGGCGCGGTCCCGCGAGGACTTCATCCACCAGCACCGCAAAGCCCTGGTGAGAGGGGGGAGCTCTCACCCCTGGGGGGTGTCCCAGGGGTTGGGGGACATTCCCAAACCCACCCTGATGCCCCTTCCTTGGCCAGGAGTCGGAGTATGTCTCCGCCCACCTCCACGAGTGGATCGACCTCATCTTTGGGTACAAGCAGCGAGGCCCGGCCGCCGTGGAGGCCCTCAACGTCTTCTACTACTGCACCTACGAGGGTGAGCCGTGGGGAATGGAGCTGGGGGGCACCTCCTGGGCCAGGGGCACCTCCCAGGGGCCCCCCCGTGACCATCCCCATCCCCAGGGGCCGTGGACCTGGACGCCATCGCCGACGAGACGCAGCGGAAGGCCCTGGAGGGCATCATCAGCAACTTCGGGCAGACGCCCTGCCAGCTGCTCAAGGTAGCTCAGACCCCCCCCACCCCCAAAACCAGCCCCTTTCGGGGGGTCACCCCCCCTGCTGATGGGTCCCCTCGCCCCCCCCAGGAGCCCCACCCCGCCCGGCTGTCGGCAGAGAGCGCTGCCCAGAGGCTGGCCCGCCTCGACACCCGCTCCCCCAACGTCTTTGAGCACCTGGACCAGCTCAAATCCTTCTTTGTGGAGGTGAGGGCGACCCCGAGGGGTCCCTGGGCAGGACTGGGAGGGGTGGGCATGGCCAGGAAGGTGCCCACCGGCTGTTGTGTCCCCACAGGGCATCAGTGACGGGGTGGCCCTGGTGCAGGCCGTGGTCCCCAAGAACCAGGCGCATTCCTTCATCACTCAGGGATCCCCCGACGTCCTGGTGAGTGCGGGAAAACTGGGACACTCTGAGGGGGTTCTGCTGCTCCAGGGGGGGTGTCCAGAACCCAACCAGGAGGGCTGTGGTGGTGGGAGTGGTGTCACCTCCCCCTCCACCTCTGCCCAGGTCACCGTGAGCGCCAACGGCTTGATGGGGACCCACAACTGGCTGCCCTACGACAAGAACATCTCCAACTACTTCAGCTTCACCAAAGACCCCACCGTGTCCAACGCCAAGTGAGTCACCCGGGCCCGCTCGGCGGACCCCAGGGGTGGTCCCTGGAGGTGCCACCGGGTGCAGCAGCTCATCCCTCCCCCTCAGGACGCAGCGGTTCCTGCAGGGCCCCTTCGCCCCCGGCGCGGATCTGAGCTCCCGCACGCTGGCCGTGTCTCCCGACGGGAAGCTGCTCTTCAGCGGGGGGCACTGGGACAACAGCCTAAGGGTCACCTCGCTGGCCAAGGGCAAGGTGGTGGGGCACATCACCCGCCACATAGGTACGGCCTCCTCCCCGGAGGGTGGGGAGGGTGAGGGTCTGTGACGCCCTGAGGGGGTTGTAGGGGCCGTGGGGGAAGAAGGGGACATGTGAGGGGCATCTCCCGGTGTCCATCTCCTGGGGATAGTCCAGGTTCCATCTCAGAGCTGGGGTGGAACAGGGTCAGCAGCATCTCCACATCCCAAAATCTTGGAGTGGTGTTGGCAGCAATTCCACACTCCAAAATGCATCTTGGAGTGGGGTAGAAGCAATTCCTCACTCCAAAACACATCCTGGAGTGGGGTGAGGATTAGCAGTAGCTCCATACCCCAAAACACATCTTGGAGTGGGGTAGCAGCAATTCCATATCCCAAAATATGTCTTGGAGTGGGGTAGCAGCAATTCCATATCCCAAAATGTGTCTTGGAGTGGGATTGGCAGCAATTCCACACCCCAAAATGTGTCTTGGAGTGGGATTGGCAGCAATTCCACACCCCAAAGCACATCTTGGAATGGGGTTGACAGCAATTCCACACCCTAAAACACATCTTGGAATGGGGAGTAGCAGCAATTCCACATCCCAAAACACATCTTGGAATGGGGGGTAGCAGCAATTCCGCATCCCAAAACACATCTTGGAATGGGGAGTAGCAGCGATTCCACATCCCAGAACTCATTGTGGTACCATCCCGTGGAGTCAGGGGTGTGGTACCATCCCATGGGGTCAGGGGTTGTGGTGCCATCCCATGGGGTCAGGATGCCGAGTGCAGTGGGATGGGAGCTCATGGTGTCCCTCTGCCTGTCCCAGATGTTGTCACCTGCCTGGCTCTCGACCTCTGCGGCATCTACCTCATCTCTGGATCCCGGGACACCACCTGCATGGTGTGGCAGGTCCTGCAGCAGGTCAGGGGTTGTCCTGGGGGGGGAGCTCATGGTGGGCACCGCCAGCAGGGCACTGATGTCCGTGTCCCCAACGCCAGGGGGGGTTTTCCAGCGGCTTGGCTCCCAAACCTGTGCAGGTCCTGTACGGCCACGACGCCGAGGTGACGTGCGTGGCCATCAGCACCGAGCTGGACATGGCGGTGTCGGGCTCCAAGGTGAGCTGGGGGTCACCCAGGGGTGGTGTTACACCCCGGGTTTAGGGGAAGATTGATTGAGAAACATCAAAATCCTCAGGAGGTTCAGTAACTTGAACACTGAGGTAGAAGAAGGTACTTGGCAAACTTGAAAACGACATCCAAAGTGAGACACTAAACCAGCTTTAACTTAGCAAGGTCAAGCCTAGCCAACTTCAGCTTATCCAGGCAAAACAAGGCACTTTCTAAGGCTTTGGCTGAAAGCTTTTAAGTCTGGCTGATGATATATTTTGAGAAGAAGAAGGGGGAGAAGAAAGAGAAAGAGGAAGGAAAAGGAGAGAGAAAAGTAAATAGTCCCCACCCGTGGATCCAGCGATGGCACCTTAGTGTTGCCGTTTTGATGCCAAACTAATGATTCAGTCTTGATTTGCCAGGGGTGGGGGAAGCCTCCAAAACACAAAGTTCAGTGGTTAAAATATGCTCAGGTTCAGGTGGGAACACCCAGGTTCCTCCCCTGGGTGGGGGGTTTCACACTGTGTGGTGTGACATTGTGGATCACGGGGCACTTTGGGGGGCTTTGGTGGTTTATGACCCTTCTAAGACATGAGCAGCATAGTTGGGCCAGTTGTGCCCCATCAGAAGGGATGGAAACCTTCAGCCCCACCTGGGAATGTCCCCCCTGGCAGGGGAGTGTCACAGCTGAGCCAGCTGTGTGAGGGAGGACATGGGCAGGACAGAAACCATTATCCCACCAGGATTGCTTCTTGTCGACCTCTGCCCTTCTCTGGCTCAAAAGCAGCTCGTTGGTGAACAAAGGTTGATTTGTCGTGGTCACCTGAAGGTGGAGATGGGGATGGAGGTGAAGGTGGAGATGAGGAAAGGGGTGGAGATAGAGAATAAAGAAGGGGATTGAAGTGGAGATGGGGATGGAGGTGAAGGTGGAGATGAGGAAAGGGATGGAGATAGAGAATAAAGAAGGGGATTGGAGATGGGAAAGGGGATGGAGGTGGAGATGGAGAATAAGGAAGGGGATAGAAGCGGATAGAGAAGGGGATGGAGGTGGAGATGGAGAATAAGGAAGGGGATAGAAATAGATAGCGAAGAGGATGGAGGTGGAGATGGAGATGGGGAAGGGGTGGTTTTGCAAACGGCAGATTGTCTGAGCCACCAGCCGTTGACACTCCAGCCTCTCCCAGGTGGGGCAGTGCCACCGTCGGTGTCACCGTGGTCACCCCACGTCCCCTCCCTCCCGCAGGACGGCACCATCATCACTCACACCGTGCGCCGGGGGCTCTTCATCCGCTCGCTGCGGCCGCCGGGCGAGAGCTGCGTCCCCGCCGTGCTGTCCCAGCTGGCCGTGGGCCCCGAGGGGCAGGTGGTGGCCCAGAGCACCGCGGGCCAGCGGCCCTGCCTGAAGGTACGGCCCAGGCTCCCCGGGGCCCCCTCCCCGTGCCCAGCGGCGCGTGCTCCCCGCCCTCTGCCCTCTTCCAGGACGGGTTCGCGCTCCACCTGTACTCCGTGAACGGGAAGCTCCTGGCGTCCGTGCCCCTGGAGCAGGAGGTGACGGCCATGTGCCTCACCGAGGAATTCGTGGTGCTGGGGACCGCCCAGTGCGGGCTGGAGATCCGGGAGCTCCAGAGGTACCGGGGCAGCAGGGAGGGGTGGGCGTGGGGGAGAGGGGGAGGGTCTGGAAGGGGATGGGGATGGAGGTGGCCATGGAGAAGAGGATGGGGATGGCAGAGGTTGGAGTTGGAAAAGTGGATTGAGGATCTGGAAGAGGATGGGGATGGAGAATAGAATGAGGATCTGGAAGGGGATGGGGATGGAGAAGAGAACTGGGGACAGAGAAGTGGACTGAGGATCTGGAAGAGGATGGGGATGGAGAAGAGGATGTGGATGGAGACGAGGATGAGGATCTGGAAGGGGATAGGGATGGAGAATGGAATGAGGTTCTGGAAGGGAATGGGATTGGAGAAGAGGACTGGGATGGGGATGGAGAGTAGGATGAGGATCTG